TTTCCCCAGCGGCAGGACGTGCCCTGCTGATAATAGCCCCAGCCGTTTACCGTAGTTCTTCGCGACCGCGATAAGGCTGACTCAGGTGATTCCCATCGAACTGAATATTCCTTCTGATGCGATTTACATTTTGGAGGTCTGAATTGAAACATCGAAATCTTTCTCTTACCAGTTTGATGTGTACTCTGAGGGCTGAAGGTACATTTCACGAGCGACCCTCTTCTTCCTTAGACCCTTGACAAAATGCAAAACAAAGTATTACCGATAAGATTCATTCTGGGGACCCCATTTCGAAGACTGTGAACCAGTATAGATAGAAGTGCTACCTTCTAGTGACTGCTGCCTCTCTTCTCCCTTCTAGTATTTGGGCTTCATTTTCGAGCATTTTATTCCGACTCTGCTAATTGAATTGTTGGTTTAGCTGAAAGGAAAGAGTTGAACATGTACGAAGCATCCATTTGCTAGGAATGGAAACACGGGAAGAAAAGCCTTTAGATTTAATTGAAACCTTGAAATGATAAGCTTTTCAATCCACAACGAGAAGGAGAGAGGAGTCATATTCGAGTCGTTAGGAAAGTGACCAAGTGGAGGAGATGTTGATTTGGTGGGTGATTTTTAGCTCTTTTTGCCGCTCCTTTCCACTCCCGTACCCCCAGCCTACCCTCCCGCTTGACGATTTTACCAGTTTCCTATGAAGTGCCAGGTATGAGATGGTAAAGGAAATGTTAAATTGCTGATGTGGATGAAACGTTGAACCAAACAGGGGTCATATTTGCGACTACGATGAAGAGAAGGTCGTACTGAACAATCAACTCGTCTCATAGTCGTGACGTGCTCTGCATACTTCTTCGATGGCTCCCACGATTTAGCGCATAAGACAAAAGACAAAAGTGCCACTAGACTTTCAAAGAGCTATTGACGTTTCAGGCTCAAAAAGCCAAATCTACAATACAATTTCGTAGTCTGTTTTAATTTTTCGTTTTCGTCCAATTGACCTCCCTAGTCTCCCTATGTATTCTTTACGTGGAACTTTCGAAGCCAGTTTGAGATTCTCTTGATCTCTGAAAGTCTTGTATTAGGTTGTCCGGAAAAGTTCTCAGCGTTTTGTGCACCTATTTTTTGTACATTCACTGCTGATTAAAATTCTGCCTTGCTTCTCAGTAGCACATCCTGTAGAGAATTTCTTGCGCTATCTGATGGTATAATTGCCGTTTCACCATTGCTTGATAAACCCCCTTTTTTCAAGATTTTTTCAAGCATGTGAAAAGAGCACTTCGGACGATTTTTTTCTTCGACTATAAATTGGGGCAATCGAAACAGCTCAACAAATTAACCAGGTGTGGGGGCCCAATAGTGCTAGAGAAAGCACTGTGCGGCAATGGCTCAACAAATTTCGTTCTGGAGATTTCAGCCTTGAAGATGAACCTCATAGCGGTCGACCTAAAGCAATATCTGACGAGGATTTTAGGGGGATTTTGGAGGCTGACCCATCCCAAACAGTTCGAGAGATAGCAGAAGAGCTAGGCCTTGGCAAATCCTGTTGCAGATGGTCTGGAACGCATTGGGAAGGTGAAAAAACTCGACAATTGGGTGCCCCACAATCGGAGTGACCGGCAGGAATCGGCACGTCTCGAGGTTCCTTCTGCATTGCTTTTGCGCAGCAGAAACGACCTGTTTTTGGACCGAATTGTCACCTGTGATGAAAAATGGGTCATGTATGATAACAGGAGACGTTCCGGACAGTGGTTGGATTTCGACGAACCACCGAGGTAATTTTCAAAGCCGAACCCTCACGAAAAAAAGATTCTGGTCACGGCTTGGTGGTCATCGGCTGGTGTGATCCACTATAACTTTTTATCACCAGGCCAAACCATCACAGCAGAACCCTACTGTGAAGAAATCGACGAAATGTACCGAAAATTTTGTCAGCTGCAGCCAACACTTATCAAAAGAAAGGGTCCGATTCTTTTGCATGACAACGCCCACACGTTTCACAAATCACTATCCATAAATTGAACGAATTGGGGTTGAAGTTCTACCTCACCCGCCATATTCTCCAGACCTTTCCAACCGACTATCACCTTTTCAAACATTTTCAGAACTTCCTTGCTGGAAAATACTTCATCAATCAGGACCAGGCAAAAAAAGCCTTCGTGGATTCTCGACCACCCAGTTTTTTCTTTGATGGGATTTCTCGACTGCTGTCACATTGGCAAAAGTGTGCTGATTCGAATGGTGCCTATTTCGATTAAATCCGATGAGTATTAAAAAAGTTACGATCGTTTAAAGTGAAACACCCAAAACGCTGAGAACTTTCCGGACAACCTAATACTTGCTGATTGTGCTCAGAACAACGCTGATTTTCCACAATTTCTCTAACAATGAAGTGTTTCTAATATTTCATATTTTGATTTCGTTCATTATTGTTTCCAATACGTGTTTCAATAAGATACGAACGATATACCGTAATTCCAGGCAACCAAGTACCGTAATTCTAAGCATCGGAACGATCTAGAGGCTTCTATTCAGATGATATTCTCGAACTACTCGATCGAGGACTATGACCAGGTAAAATAGCTTGCTAGTTATCATCAGTTATTGGGGGGTCCACTGACTGCGCCACGGAATCTAAATCGAGGAACTGGGATCCCTGTCTTGGATGTCCTAATGCGTTCTCATTTGTCCTCAGAATTTTACCTATCCAATCCCTCAAGGACAGGCCAAGCGCAAACAATCTGTAAACCTCTTTGGTGCCGGATTAATAAGGTCCCTGATCTCTGAACTGTCAGTTGTCGCGGCTTTGGTTCGAGGGAACTGCGGACGTCATAAGCTGAAGTTATATACGGTACCTTTGAGGCAACTCGCCCATCGGGGCCAATAACGCTAGCGATCGTATCTCTTTACAGCAGCTGTGAACTCCGTGTGGGACTGACCTCTTTTTTAAATCGAGATGTAAGGATTCTCACTTCCCTCAATTGCCTTTACGAAAGGAAGCACATACTCAGAGAGGCGATCAGTTCTAGAGGGTAAGGTGCAGTTTGATGCTGCTTGAATTCGATCGTATAGGTGCAATATTCCGTGGATTACGGTGATCCCAGCTCATCTCATTTAATGTCAGAGACCCGTGATGTGGCAATCTTATTTCCACGCTATTTCATTTTTAGGTGTTGTAGAGCATCTAATGCCGGAGGGTGGTAAGGTCGTGCCACTTTCTGTGCTCATTTGCTCAGAAGTGCACGGGAACGAGGGTGGACGAGTGATGCCCGGATGCGCGAACTCCGGAAATGGCACCCGAGTATCGCTATCCTCCACTAACCATGAAGTTCTCTATAGTCCCATTCCCATAGAATGTTGAGCAGAGAAATCGGAAAGCTACTGCGTCTGCGCACTCATTCACCTCACATGACAAGGCCAGGATCGGTGGGGAGTGCGCACATTGCCTTCAAAGGCAGGGGGCACGGTGGCTGGGGGCGGGCCGTTGCTGTCAACGTCATTGGTGAAAGAGCCGCGAAAGGGCGTTTGGCCACATCTCACTCAGCACCTCCACCAATGACGTTCGCAGTAACCGCCTGCCCCCAGCTATCGTGCCCACTAATTCGAATGACTTTACCGAGAACAGAAATAATTGGTCGGAGTGTAGTAATGATGTTCAGTTGGAATGATATAATACTTACATGCTGAAAAATCTATTCAAACGGGTCTAAGAAAGAGGATTTTTCGATGCATTGAAGGGAACACGATTTGGGAGCCCAGCGTCAGAAATGCAGTATAATTGATTAATTGTACCAAAGATCATTTATTACCAGAGTTTTTTTTCCATTTATTACCATTGTTTTTTTCAGACTTCAACGTATCTATATGCAATTGAAGGGACAATATTAGTTATCTTCAATGCGTTTGCCGTCCTCCGTTTTCTGAGAAGCAGTTATCATAGAGCGAATCGGGACAGTCTTCTTATAGTAGGTCAGGATAACCCTACTAAGGAAGAACATGTTGTTTCGTCAGAATGGTTACTTTTTATACACCTTTGTTCTGAAACACTCCTGCACGTTCTTTCAGGCTGCTTGATCTTCGACACATTATTTGGTATTACATATATGTGCTCCTGGATTTTATCGAATACCGCTTCTGTACAGGCACAAATGCAAGTTTCTTCATTTTCTCCGCGTTTTTCCTACAGTCTTGTTCGACGGACGCTGGGGTGTCGCAGGGAAGCTTAGTTTGGCGCGGTGCCAGTCCGTTCTCCACTTTTGGAACCTGGCAGTCGACCACATTGGTGGGAAGCTGGCTGGCCAAACCCGGCCCCTGGAACGTCCCAGCGTTCGCAGCGACAAGACTATAGTTCACATAGCTGGAACAACATACCTCTGAAATAGCCTTCTCGGTCATCGCAATTCTCTCGGAAATTATTGTTTTTTGCTTGGAGAATCCTCTATGCTGACAATTAGTGTATAGGGAGAGGAGATCGGATGCCTTTCTTAGGTACCTGCCCATCCCCTGTGGCTGGCTTCTCAGCTTCTGCATCGTAAATTTCGACCTGAATCGCGGAGAACTGTCTTGATCCGATGTTTCTGAAGAGCTTTCAGTGAAAAATATACAAGGCTTGCCTGAAAGGAGCACGTTTCGAACCAGATTCTCTCAAAGGCAGCGGACGCGATAGAGCGATAGGGCGTCTAGGGTGCATATGACCAGCAAGTAGGAATAACATGCCCCTTAGCAGGCGTGGCGCTTTTCCAGCGAGGTTCGCTTTCCAAAGATCTCAGCAGGGCACAGCATGCCAACAGCCACTCCCACCAAAGCCCGTACGCCCACAAGTGACCCCACCCGCGCGTAACTGATCGCGATCGGGTCAGGTGTTTCCAGCAACAATCTGCTGCTGATTTGACTTTTCCTTTTCCGAGATCCTTCTGGAGAGGAAGATTCGTATTTAGAACAGGAGCATCTTCCTTGAGCATATTGCAAGGTTCTCCTGCAAATATTTCTTTTTTTGAAGCAGAAGTGGAGTAGTAGCAAGTGGCACGCTCACTAGTGCGCATTCCAGCGTTCCTCGATGGGCTCCTGCTCAAGCCAACCAAGCATTCTACCATCTGGGGCCGTAAATTGGTGCCACGTTCGTCTGGGCGGATAAGGACTCTAAACTGTATATCATGCCCCTAAAAGTCATTGTATAGGCCACTTCGCATTCAAAAAGCCACTACGAATCGGAATGGCAGTAGAATGCTGCCGCATCATAAACGGAATTGACTAGCGGCGAAGACTTCATTTTTTTATCCTTTAGTACCCGCTTTTGAGAATTTTCGCCCTTTTGCCTAAGATCTTTTGGTTGTTTTCTACTTACCCCCCTTGAAATTCGGCCGATGTTCCGAGATTGAAAGTTATTTGTGTCCCGTTTTTTGCTGGGTCATTTTTGATATGGTCCTGAGTTTTTGCTGCTGGAAGCTGTATTTTTTTTTCACGGTGCATTGCACTCGCATTGTTCAACGATGGTCTATCTCAGAGTTTGCTCCGGATTCGGATTGCTGAGACAGTTGATAGGCCCCTATTTAGGGTTTCCAGCCGTTTCGTGCCCTTTTTCTTCTTCACTACTGCACTACATAGCGCCTCTACTGCCATTTTCTGGCAGTGACCCAGTTATCGTGTGCACTGCCTTTGCTCTCCGACACATCAATTTTCATGCATTTGTAAAGGCTGTGAAGCCTACCCGCCCTCCCTTCCCCACCCCTAAAAGTTTTCATTCTCAATTTATAAGTTCATATGATTGGTTATTGGAAACTATTTCTCTAGAGGTACCCTAATCTCTAAAACACTGCTAGATCGCTTTTTCTATTACAGATTCAGATTTTCCTGCAGTGACAAAATGGGAATGCCTTGGCACGCCGGCCTTGCTTTTCGTCATTATTACGCCTACAGCAGGTTAGTATCTGGGAGTTTTTTTTCGAAATTTCACCTCACATTCAATGACACAGGTCACTCAGAAGCTGGCATCAGAGGCTGGCGCTGTGCTAAACCCAGCCCCTGACGCCACAGTGTTCGCAGCAAAATAACTAGAAAGGGCGCCTTCATTACCGTCCGTGTTCCCGAACAAGAGGATCGCAAGTTGACGCGCCGTCGTGCGCGGCGCACCGTTTGACGATTAGCGCGGGAAATTGCAATGTGGGCGTCACGCGTCGATGGGTACGGGAAATTCGAACTGTGCGTCAGTTTCTCCTTTGGAGCAGCGAAACTCGTGGGGATCATTGCCTCTTTTCTTAATAACTTCAATTTTCACGTAAATAAATCGAAAACAAATCGTGCACTGTTGCCAAATTAACACCAGATTGTGCTAGAAATCTGAAAGCACGAAAATTTTCAGTCAGAACCGCTTACGGCTAGCGCGCTTCAGTAACACTCTTTGTCGGCCCTTTAATAGTCAAACTCGAATGGCTAGGCGGGAGAACTCGTTTCTCTCGGCGCGGCATCGCTCGTCACACCAGCCAACGCGACAAATTACGATTCTCTTGCCTTATATCCCTGTTTCCCTGTTATGAATTCAAAAAAGAAACTAATACCGTAGCAAGTACTACGGTACAAGTGTTTCACGTTCTTTATGTGATGTCGTGAAAAACCGTCTTTCGGAGAATTATGGAATAAAATTTGCTTTTTGCTTTTGTTCGTTCTTTCGACAATTCACGGAACTAGTGACATTTCAGGGTTATTTGCTTTCATTACGTCACTTGATCGATTCTACTGTGTTATGTTCCCTTTGAAATACCTTCGACAACGAGTTCCTTATGCACTTACAGTAATGTTTTCTGCGTATTTTATAGCATTAATACCTATTGGAAAAGCGATTATTGACAGCTATCCCTATCGGTTTGTGAAAGATGTGAGTGCCTTTGATCTATTGAATATATGTAACACTATTAATCAACTTCAAAGTTTATTTGTAGACAAGGGCTTGTTGAACACACGTTCCGTGATAGTGGAATAGGGATGTAATACGTGCACCCTTCTCATTGGACGCGCCCCTCCACGTTACCATATTAGAAGAAGGAGCACATCAATGAGGAAGGCACTGAGTCTTCCCTCCCTCATTTTTCCCCGTGGTCAGTTCTCACAGAACGTTTGTAGCTTGTCGCTGCTCGCCTTGAGGGGAGAGGGGCCTTTAAAGGCAAAGCCCGCGTTCATTCGTATTCACAGATAGCGGATTAGGGGTTTACATATAGACGACAAGGTTCTGAGTAACTCGATAGTGAAGAAAAAAAAAGGAAAGCACATGCCAACTGCCCTGGATAGAACCCCATTCTGATCCCAGTTGGCGCGTACCCAATTAGCTGTATCTCCAACACTAATCCGAAGAGCGTCCCATGCCGCAAATCCTGCTTCCTTTTTAAAATTACGACCGTACAAGCGACAATTTCCTGCTTTTTCATCCTGTAGCTTCGGGCGGGCTTTGAGGGCGGAGTCTGGAGGCGGGGTCACTGGGAGAAAAGGAGGCGTCACTCAACCTGTGCTGCGCTGTAGCGCCCCTCCCTTACAATTTTTTGCCGCGAAACCGGCACAAGGTTTTGTCGTGGAGCACACTACACACCATATTTTCAACTTCTATACCTGATCGCGGGACCCTACCTTCAAAGGACTTCTTGTGCTAATAAGGACTTAGGATTCCTGCCTAAACCTACGAAGGGAGGGTTTTACGGCATGGGTCGACTCACTTCTTTGGCTTCGTGTCCAACAGTGTCCAACTTTTGGAGCCATGTTTAGACCGCTTAGGAAGATGATCAGTTCGAAAAGTAAGGCCGTCAATGAATAGCTCCTCCTTGCGACAACCTCGTTGGCAGAAAAAAACGAAACTTGCGAATTTATAACCTTTTAGTGGAGATTCCGCGCTGAAGTAATCTCAGGTTTAGACAAGAAGTGCTTTGGCGTTCCCCCCCACCCCTCGACCCGCCCCCCCCCTCAAGGCGACCTGCGCCGGTGTCTTTGATTGTATAGAGAATGGTACCGTATTCTAGGAACCAGCCACATGTAGTCTGAACAACGCTGTGACCGCCAGTAACTTCGTTTTGCTTCGAATTATTCGTGTGGTATCCACATTATCTTGCGTACTGATTTATATACCGATTTTTGCAAGAATGTATAAGGTACGTCTTGAGTAGACTGTAAAGTAGACTACAAAAATGCAGAGTTATCAAAGTGAACTGATTTTTATTTTCAGAATATACGTATACATCATGAAATGACTAATCAGGGTGCTCGATATCAGAAGAAGTTACTGCGAATGACGCTGACAATATCGCTTATCACATCAAACCCCATTTTATTTTTCACTATACCTGATATCATTATGATACTCAATCCAAACTTCAAGAGCAATATATTCTTTATATTGAATTTAAATAAGGTAGGTAAACAAGGTGGTTACCAAATGAGTCTTTTGCAGAAAAATCTTTCTAAGTGTGACCATGCTATGAGGAGGAATTTCACTGGATTGACTGAAACTTTGGTAATAGGAGCGCAAGGACTACTCATTCCAAAAGCAGTAAGGCAGCAACTAATCAGGTACTCGAGTGCTGAAAATGGTAGGCAAGGGTCCTACATAGAGGGGGAATCGCGAAAAAATGAAGTAAAATGGTCGAAAATCTGCAAAAAAGTCTTTGTTCTACACGATTTAGAGAACAATTTCGGACGAGTTTTCCCCGTAGGCATGTGCGCAATAAGGCGGGCGCGGGGCTGCGTCCGGGTGCGTGTTGCGGCCTGATAGAGCGCTTCTTTTCTTAGAAAAAGCGCCACGCAGCGCCTGCTGACGGGCACCGGATTCCGTCCTGCTAGGCGTGTTAATCCTACGCGTCTTGGGGATTTTTCGTGCAACTTGCCTTCAATATGCTCTTCAGGAATGCTCACAATGCTCAAGTCATTTTGCTACTCAGGAGAACAAACTGCTATCTAATTCAGTCAAAGAAATAAACCGAAAGTGCTCAATGACTAGTCGTCTTTTTCAACGACTGGTAACCAGGGAGGGGCAGGGAGGAAATAACGACGTGATTTAAATTTAATTGTATGAATTTCCAAGTGAGAGTTTCGCATTTCTCAGATTTCGTTCCTACCGTACCTTTGGCAGGAATGTTGTCCCTGCGGTAGTTTGATCTCCTGAGCGCTACTTTCACGGTGAGAAGGCGTATCACATCCGAACGGCGGGAAGTCCTACAGTCTTGTTCGCCGCGAATGATGGGGCGTGTTAGGGAGCTGGGTTTGGTGTGGCGCTGGTCTGGTGGTGCGCTAAGCCTACCCTCACCCCTGACACGCCCCCATCCGCAGTGAACAGGACCACAGGCGCCGTCACCCAGCTTGGAATCAGTCAGATTTAGGTGCAGAGTTGGGCTTGGATTGATAAAAAGAGGCACCAGTCCCAAAAATTAGCACTGCATACATGACCAGGGCCATTGACATTTCCATCAGTCCGTCGTTTTTTTCTGAAATTGCTGAAGAAACTGGCGCAAAGAGGCACCTGCGCCGAAATGAATGACCATAGTCAAGATCTCTGCAGTCGAGGGGCATATAAAGGGGGGATTAAAAAGCAGTCTCAGCAGGCTTTTTCTTCCAGTAGTTGCAGACCCAGGTCGGCATCGACTGGTGGAAATGGCTGATGTAGCTGCGCTGCAATCCACGCCCCCTCACAGGCCCCTCGTCCGCAGGGTTAATGACTATATTCGTTATCGAGGTGCTGAATGAACTCCACAGCACAAGTTTCCCACAGGTTCCTAGGCTTTCCTTTAGGATTCTTATGCGAAGCGGATTTTTTTTTCCAATCTTGCGCGAAGCACCCACAAGCACTTATTATCTCAGGGGGGCCGGCCAAAAAAAGTCACTTTGCCTCATTGACTTTCGAGGCGCTATAAGTTACACTTTATCAAATTCTGATCGGACATTTTTACTACCATATTGAAGAGCATATTAAGTACTATCACGACACTCCGCCACAGCCTTCTGGACGAACGCCATCGAGAGATTCTGGCACGCGCGACCCGCGATGTCTGCTACCTGTAGATCAGCGGGGTAGTCGAGTTCTCTCCCACCTGTTGGAACACCCTATTGAACTCTGCCGCAATACCTTATCGTATAATGAGTGGGTTCATACGGTCCAGGCGACATACTTCATATTACATCTCTTCAGTACGAAACGCTCCTTCCATCTCGATAGTAGGCGGGAAGTTTTTCAAAAAACCCTCTTCGAGATCTATTTGGGTGGCACCCAATCTGTCTGCCCAGCACCATAACGTCTCCAAGAAGGTACGGGCGACCACATGTAGGGAGGATATTCTTCTCGAGTTACTTGATGTAACCGCCAGCGCTCACCTTCAGTCGGGGTCTACAAAGAAAATATCGGTCTTCCCATTCCAGGTACCCCGGTCCATACCATCAACTCGCGCCTCGGCGACTACGGTGAAGATGATATCCCGGATCGTAGCGACGTTGCCGTAGCTGCTCGATGTGGGAGATCTTGCAGATCAAGAGTACTGACATCCAGGTAGATACCTGGGTGACTCATTCAAGAAGCGTTCGCAGACTGTCTCGGTCGCGTACGTGAATTCCAAAGGTGTTCTCCAGTCAGGCCGCGACTGGAGATGACTTCATATTTTGGCGTACATGAAGGCGATTGGCGGCAGCCTGCTCCAGCTTATAGAGGAAGATCTTGGGTATCCTCCAACTCTCGCTACTCTATACCCGCTCCACTGTCTGGCTAACAGAAAACTTCGTAATATGTGGCTTGCCGACAATGGCTTCTTTTAGCCCCTGTATATTGCACACTGTGGACAACATTACTTGCCCAGTCCCAGACAACTCCGCCCATTTTTACTGACTTTTTGCCGACAGGCCTTCTTTCCTCCTGCTCGAAAAGCCCATCGCACATATTATATACGGCTCACATATGACAACAGTTACTTGCCCCGCCGTCCTAGACAACTCCGCCCCCTTTTACTGACTTTTTGCCGACCGCCTTTTTTTCCCCAATCTTGCGCGAAGCGCCTATCGCACATAACTCCGTCCCCTTTTTTTACAGACCGTGGGTGAGTAGCGCTGAAAAGGAGCTGGGCGCTGAAATCCTCTACGTAGAGCTTGGTTTGTTATTCGAGACGGTCGTAATCTCGCATTCATTTCATGCTGTTGCTGGACTTTGCGGATCTCCGGCTCAAGAATTACTTTCAATTACCGCATAATAAATTATTTCCATCAGAGTAATGTTGGATATTAACAGAAGAAATAAATCTGTCAAGGAAGTAGTATAACTTTCTAATTTGCAGTCGAACATCCTGCTTGCAAGAGAATATTGCTCCCCGTTTGAACAGAGATTCTCTTGATGGTCCCGAGGGAGAGAGGAAAATTTGTTGCGCGCTGACCACCCAAATAGCTTCCCTCGTTCCTCTGGCCTCTCCGTCGATTGAGCCGAGAATTCAAATGTTGAAACGTTTATTGATTTACTACATTGAGAGTGTTTCAGGGTATCATAAACATTATAATATTCATGGCTACTCAGCGAACCCTTCGGCAGGTTTTATGCGGCAAGTCGGATAATTCTGAGCTAATGGTGAGTGCTCTTAGCGCTTAAGCTGTTGAGGGTGAGAAAATGCATTCGACGCTGTTCACAAGCATATGTGTGCTGAAAAGCATCCAGCAAAGACTTAACGAACGCTTTTTTTCCAAAAAAAACTAATTTCAGCTTTCAAACTCAATAACTTATTTTCAGGTATCAATGAGGGCAGGAAGTAGGACGAAAACGGTCACTGCCTCTAATAAAACCGATATTGTACATTAACGAGTGAAGTCCGACTCAAGATATCTTAGATTCCTGAAGCAAATCACGGTGCCATCTTCTCGTCATTCGCTTCACTTTGTTCTGTTTCGTTTGTGCAGCTGTTTTCAGAACGTTGATCATGATTATGTAAATAAATTTTGGAAAATAAATAAATGATGACTGGTAAACGTTTCAATAGTGTCATTCTGAATAGCACAAGGATGCCGAACATGACCCTGGTCAGAAATCAGACCTGGACCCATTGTATACCGCGCTAACATGTGAATTGCGAAACGCAACGGAAAACAGCCTTTTCAAAACCATTAGGTCCAACACTAGATGGTCTCGTTCAGCTGGCAGTCTTACCAAACAGTTTCTTCGAGCCTTTTCTCTTAAAGGCGTAAAGTCTTCAAAAATGTCTTCGCCGTTATCAATCCTTTTGTGGGATGCGGCACGCATTCTACTTCCATTCAGAATCGTAGTGGCTTATTGAATGCGATGTGGCCTATACAATGACTTGCGGGGCCAGCCGATGTACAATTCAGTTTCTTATCCTCCCAGACGAATCTGGAACCAATTTGTCGTCTCAGGGTACAAGGCTTGGTTGGCCAGGGGGCAGTCGACGGGGATTTGACCCGAACCGCGCGAGTGGAAAGCGCACCACTTGTCATTACACCTCATTCGCCTCCTCTTAAAAGCATAAGACACTAATTTCGTACTCGGTCTGCAATGGTAGCAGAGCTGCTATTTGGGGTGAAAACGGTCAAAAAACCTGCAAAAAAGCCTTTGCTCTACACCGTTCAGGAAGCTATTTCGGACGAGTTTCCCGTTGGCATCGTGCCAGTAACAGCTACGGTAGATAAGGCTGCATGTATTCACTCATTATTCAATCACTGCGCTTTACGTTGTGCTTGGCAGATGAAGTCATACCAGCATCAGTATCGCTCGGACATTTGTGGGCTGGCGGCGGGCGTCTATTAGGAGTCGGGTCGCGTACTGCTGCAGCTTGATGGCGGCGCCATAGGGGCACCTTCCTTGGAAAAGGCGCCACAAAGCGCCTGCTCAGGAGTGCCGAGTTGTGTCCTGCTAAGCGTATTGATCCCACACGATTTATCAAGCCACTAGCCTTTAATGTGAAAAAAATTCCATGAACGTAAAGCTGTCTCTTCCCTCTATTCGATACATTAATGGCCCATAAATATTGAGGATACTTCCTATCAAGCTATCGCCATCTATGTTGTTTCGATCCTCAACGCTTCTCGAACTAACCTTTGATTTACTACTTACCGTTGTAAAATACATAACTGAAGCCTTTGATGAAGTTTCAAGTGCTACCTTGTTGGCGTGATGTCAGTTCTGCCACAGTGTCAATTCCGGAACGACCAGAGCATTTCAGTGATGATTAAACTCATTGTTAGGTAACAGCTGTAATATTCGCACCAACTACTTTGTCTGGCTCCAAATCGCTCTATGCTACCTTCTGACTAACTTCACTTAACTATTCAATACTTTTCTACAATTGGTGAGCTGGAACTCAAGGAATACTTTGAGGAACTCACTTGAAATGACATTAACTCACATGAATTCCCAGGGGGCCAAGTCGATGCTGGTTCCATTCTACGTGAGTTCTCATAGTAAACCTCATTTTGCACTATTTGTAACCCATGCGAATGTCTGTTTTCCTTCATCGTGGTTTCCCCCCTCATTGGCATTCACCAATCCTCAGCGATCATTTGAGGGTCGAAGTGTGACCGTCAGCCAGTTATCTTCCTTGAAAGGATATAAAATATTGAATGAGCCCAGTTTTCCCCATCATTCTTGTAATTAACACAGCTTCTTTTGGAAAAAAATAATCTTAGGACCGGAAAATATGCTAAAAAGCCTTCATTCGTTCTGCCTCCCCCCTCCCCTCCCGCACCTGATACGAACCACTGTTGTCAACGTGCCTTT